CCATTGTCGCCACCTTCACCGCGATCAGTTGCAGGCCACCGTCGACCGTCTTCTGTGCTCGCCGCCATCCGTCGCTGCTCCTGCTCGTGAGCCCAGGTGCAGGCGCTGCCCCGCTGCTGCCCCGCGTGCACTCGCCGTTCGTCCCTTTCGTTGTTCGTTTTTCGTAGCCGTCCCGAGAACGGTACCCGAATTGACCCTTCGACCTAATTATTTAGTTCGTGTTTATGTGTTGATACTCGTATGTGTGTTACGTTGCTGATCGTATGATATTCGAATTAATTTCGTGCGTTCAGAATGCTTTCGTGTGTAATTAGGATATATTGTTAATATTGGGTATCAAAGTGATTGTCGTCACTTTGAAAATTATCGAACTGAGTTTCGAGTAGTATTTTATGTGGAAGTGCTGTGGATTATTGGACTTAGGATCGTCCTTGACGCAACGCCTTTGGCCTCGCGTCGTTTCGATGTGTATTGAATTAGTTATGAATTTTTGAAAAACGTGCTGCAGCCGGTTTTTGTTAAAATCACTATAAATCGTGTGTTTACCCAAAAAATCTGATTTTTGGATATATTGTAATGTTGGAATTGTAGTACTTGTGGTTAAAATTTGAGAATTTTATATGGTCTGTAGCCTTGTCAAAACTCGAAAACTAATTCTGGGCTGTTTCGTAATAAATTCATATAAAATCGAGTTCCTGTCCGATTTTGCTAATTTTTGAATATGTTGTTGTTCTTCAGTTTATCTTGCTGCTGTAAAAGTTTGAGATTTAAAATCGAGCTGTAGCTATTTTAAATGATTTAATTTGATTTCTGGTTAGATTTTGAGTAAAATATTTAAAATAGTTAGAAGCATGTTAAATGGTTTTCCTTTGGTGAAAATATATATTTTTCAGCCTTTAACACTCAGTAAAAATTTGAATTAAAATAACCAAGTTCAACTCCCCTTAGCCCTATTCTTATAAAATTCGAACTAGCCTTTTTTAACCGTTTTGACCCGTTTTGTGTCGAACATTTATTGTCTGCTTTTATGTGATCTATTA